TACTGTTTGCGAGTTACATAAATCCCTCTTAACCTGCCTAATTGAATGGAGATCGTCATGATAAGTTTACTTTTCCCTATTCCAGTCTAGTCTGATTTAAATATGCATTTTTCATCCACGTATCAGACACATAGCAGAATCACTCTCGCCCTCATGCAAAATTTTGGACGAACTACTTTGCTTACATACAGCCTCTCAAACTGTAGTGGCTGCTTTGCATCTCTACATTCGTTGATTATTATCTCAATCTTTTGTTATCAAATATTTCCGGGTCTCCGGTTCCTGGTACAGTATCTCTATTGCAAACCAGTTTCAGTGTAACGTTTAACTTATTTTGTGGGAAAGAGTCATTTGTTATACTCAGAAATCACACTTAATTGTTACTTTCAAACAAATTTTGCAAATAAATTTAGCAATGATTTCTCTGCAATTTGAAGTTAATAAGTCTAAATTTACTGAGCAGCGAAATACTGTGAATTAACGGCTCATGTAGCCTTAACTGATAACTTTAAAGAGTAGAAAAACGCTTAAATATGGATATATATTAATTTCAACTTGTCGAAGGGATCCCCCTTGTGTACAAGGAGCAATCACTCATGAGTTAGGACACGCCATCGGATTTTTCCACGAACAGAATCGACCTGACAGGGATAAATACGTCACAATCAACTGGCAGAACATTAGGAATGGTCAGTAGGAATAAGTTTTATTATTCTGTTAAGATTATATGTGGAGAAATGCGCTCATCATTACGAAATAGATTCCATTTTGTTAAGGATTGGTGATCCTAAACTGTGCCCACGTAGGGTATAATACAAACCATTTGCCCTTACATTAAAAACAGTACTTGGTAAAGATATTTGTTATTGGCTAAACCGATTAATTTCATGTTACAAGTCGCCAATATAACTTTTCGCCTCAGTTTCACTTTTTTTTTCTCTTGATACAAAAACTGTGAAACGTACATGGCCACCAAGAGACTAGGGCGAATGACCTGGCATACAGGGCACTGTATTGAGCATGAAACGAAGGTTCCTTTTTATATTTTTTTTCTTATGTGGTGGACTTTGATCCAACAGTTACATTTATGCTACAAAAAAGTATTGGATCAAGGTGCGGTGAAAAGTTCCATCCATTTCTTTGGGCCATGATTAATTTAGTCTAAACTGGAGTTGTGTCACTCAATACATAGACGTGGCCCTTTTTCCTGGTTCCCTTTTTAACAATAAATTTAGGTTAAAAAAAGCCTATTTTAATATTTCAATATAAACCGAGCGGTTACATGTTCAAACACCGCGAAATCACTAACTATACCCCGAATGGGCATATTGTTATAAAATCAGTAGTAGTGCGCTTATTGTGATAGAGTCAATTGCACGTGCTTATGTTCGCCGCTGTATATCTAGCCCGGAAATTTATGCTTGCATACTTCTAACAGTATTTTGTTACACCCTTCAGGGGCAGAAGATAACTTTAAAAAGGCTAAACCTAATTCGGTAGACAGTCGAGGAGAGCCATATGACTACGGATCCATCATGCACTATTCCAAGTACGCAGGGAATAATCGTCCTGGTGTTATGACGATAGACGCTAAGGATCCTAATGCCGAAATTGGTCAGCTTAAAGGCCCCAGTAAAAGTGACATAAAGCAAGCTCGGCGTATGTATGGCTGTGGCGGTAAGTTCACGTGACTATGTCATATGAATCAACCCGAGCGCGTAGCTACCGGGAAAAGATCCTTTTCCTTTAAAATAAGACTGTACCTGTGACTATTGTTAACGATATAAATGTTGTGTTTTGTTCTGCCACGAATTAGTACGGAAAGTTATTTTCTTTGTTTGGTTAGTCACGTGATTTGGGATTTCTGGTCCGTTTTTATGATTCTTCCCTTGCAAGTTCATCAGTTCTACATATTTTCTGTCGCTGTATCGCGATGTGAAGGTTTAAGGTTTATAATTAATGTATTTCGCTTGAGAGTGCTAAATGTGCCTTTGTCGC